TTGTTATGTTAGGCATGGAAATGTAATCAAGGCAAGCAAATATCTCATGTTTGAAAATATGTTGTTTTACTTACTTGACTGTAAAATCAGATGTACTGTGTATACAAGCAGTCTGACATACTATAATCAGCTCATGGTTCTCTACGTGTAAATCACTTAACTTGGGTGTAAAACAGTGTAATATTCACGACGAATGTGTACACTTCACTGCTCTGTGCCACTAAGGGATTGTTACATACTTACTCTTTTATAAAGATTTCTTCATATCACTTGTTAGGTTCAATGAAAGCTGGAATGCTGGTGAAGAAGTACTGAGTTAACCCCTATGAAGTGTTCCACTTGGCTTGCCTTGTACTTTAAAGATAGGCTTGCCAGCTGCCTTCTGTTTTTGCTTAATGCATTGTGCAGTCCAACTGAATCTGGAACAGCGGCCTACAAAATAAAAAACACAAACAGCAACTAGCAGGGCATTCCCATAAACACACAAAGAGCCTTATATGGGATGAAATACTGCCTTGTGTTGTAATAAAATTCACCGTAATTCTAATGTAACTGCTTGTTTCATAGTACTGATGCATCTCAATGTTTTGTTGGGCGTGGTATGTTCCATTTACTATGCCAACTGATTTTTCCTACATCAACTGGTCTCTTATTTAGCTTTTAATTAGAGATTTTGGACTGTAAGCTGTTTCGTAGAAGTAACTCTTTACCGTGTTATATATAATGTTGTACAATATATTCTAAATGTTACCATGTGTATTGTTATATAATATTATGGGGTCTATTCACAAAGCTGCCAAATGATCTAGCCGTAGCTTCGGCTGATCCTTCGGCTAGCTTCGGCCCCAGGACCCCTTCTGTTTAGTAGAACCGAAGGGCTGCTGTACGGGCTATTCACTACTCTCCCGGACGCTCTAGGAGTCTCCCGCTATCAGATAGCGGCTCCCGGCCAGGAGAGATACACTTTCTTCTGGAAAGGTTTACTCTGCTCGATCGTTTGTTTCTTTTTCCTTCTGACATTGGAGCCGCCGGCGCCGTCAGTCAGGAAAAAAAAAGCATAGGAATGCACAGCTACATTCCTATTGGCTATTTCACTTTGCAATAGCCAATAGCAAACTAGCTATTGCACCCGCCCACTGCTGCTGTCAATCAGCAGAGGGGTCAATCAGCAGAGGGGACCTGAAGTTCTCCATCACGTCCCCTTCTAGTGATTGACAGCAGCAGAGGGTGGGTGCTATAGCCAGCTTGCTATTGGATATTGCAAATTGAAATAGCCAATAGGAATCTAGCTATGCATTCCTATGCTGACTTTTTTTTTTTTATTATTCTGACGGCAGCAGCTATCTGCCATCATTTCAATCGTTTTCAATTTTTTTTTCTATTTTTCTTAACTGTTTTTCTATTCTGCTCGGGACCACAGAGGTACCGAGCAGAATAGCAGAAGAAGGTGCTGCTTGTAAAACACAGTTGGAATGAATGGGACAGGCAGAGCCGTAGCTAGCTCCTTTTGCGCCCGAGGCAAGAACAAAAAAATGTGCTCCCCTCCCAACAAAGGTTGACGTCACCCAACGCCGCGCACGATCAGCATCATGTGATGTCATGTGCCACGCCTCCTTGATGTGTTTTTGCATTTTGTATTATTTTGTATTATTATTTATTTTTATGTATATTTTTAAAATGTTTTTACTGTTGGGGGGCTTCAGGGAAATATTAGGGGTCTAAACAGCTGGCTGATATTTCCCTTTTAAAATAGAAATTGAGTAGTTACCCAATGCTGGCATATAGTTGCCTGTTAAGTGACATCTGTCAAGGATGCATGTGTGAGTTTAAGGTACAGTGCATGGCAGAATGAACTGAGCAGCTCTGGATAATGTACTGGGCCACTTATCACCTTCTTCTGCACATTTATCGTATACATTTCTTAATCAGAGACACATGTGGAAGTGCTTCATTCCTTTTTCTGAAGGCTGTTTGTTCCTGAACATTACACAATATGGAGAATTATGTACGTCAGCAGATTAGCGTAGAGCTCTTACATAGCTGGAATACAGCGATGCAGAAGTAATTACTAACCTGGAAATATTAGACCTGTTTCTTAGTTTACATTCTGCTACATAGCACATTTCTAGGGAGCGTTAAATGCAAATTATAGAATATAAAAGAACAGACTGAGTTATTGCTACAATTGCCCATAAAACAAACACTTTATGCAGAAGCTGCATATTAACTACTTATATATGTACTTACAGAAACTGCCTTTGAAAACAGAAACCTCATGACTGCTTGTGGCACTAAAAGGGAACAGTTTCACAATACTACTTGTTCCATAATTCTTTTTTCACCAGCAGTCAATGCAATATATCATAGGACATAGTAGGCACTCAGAGGTCTTTCAAGAGAATTTTGGATTCATTCAAGAGCTGTTTTATTACAGCGCGGTTTTTACTTTTCTTGGTGCTATATTTGTGTGGAGTACCAGGGCATTTTATTGGATTGCCTACTCTGGGTGTCTACTATGTCCTATTATATATGTATCTATGAGCTTTTTAATTGAGGACTTCAAACCACTTACTAATTTAGGGGTCTCCTGCCTGCAAATTCTGAGATCTTCTCTGGTATTGTAGAAAAAGTATAGACATGCAGGACAAAGGGATGTCTGATATCGGCAAAAGAGTCTTTGCTGTTAAGAGAGTGGTTGGAGGACGTCCCCCTTCTCTCTCCTTGATCATGAGGAGGAGCTCCCCCTCCCCTCTCTCCCTCCCCCCTCTCTCTCTCACTCCTCTCTCTCCCA